AGCAGCTATGAAAGTGTCAATAAACGAGGGTTGTAGAATGCAAGGACAAATCAGTGCATAATTTACGTAATAAGCTTCTATGAAAGCGAAGAAGATAGGACCCCGCAGTAATTGGATGGTTTCGGTGTGGGACATTTACAGGTATATTAAGGTCGAATGGAAGAAGAAAATATTTATCAGATTCGGGTGTAGTGTGTGCGGACGGCTCCTTGAATATCGTTGTGGATAACGAGCGACGCATGCTTGTATGTTGTGAAACGGTGATGAAACGGAATTTCATAAGATATCACACTATTTAATGGGTGTTTATAGATCTGGAACGGAGCTTAGAATCCTTTTGGCGCATTCATGAGAAGAATACAGAGAAACCGTGCAATTCAACGAGGAAAACTACAAACAGAAAGAAACCGGGGGATGTATTGGGCTTGCATTCGTAGGAGGTACAATAATTATTGTCTGACCTTTCAAAACCCTGAAATTTTTTTATTAGACATCTGAGCGTGATGGACAGCAGACGCGGCGAACCCCATAGTCACGAGGATCCGCTGTTCAGTGGTGAAAATCGGCAACCTAAGCCCCGGGACTTGGAGTGGCAAACCACATAAGGCTCCGATAGGTTAGGCGTGGTATCGAACTGGACGACAGCAGAGCTGCCTACCATCAAAGTCGGGTGGCGGTGGCGGGGCTCGAACCTCGGACCTTAGGGTCCAAAGCACGCCGGTGACAGCGACCAAACCACTGGGCCACCACCACCCAATACATAAAAAAATAAAATGATAGTAAAAGAAATAATTCGATTTGACTAGCGTAAATTGTGGCTGATAAACACACCGAGATGCCTAACTTTCACGGTTTGGTTAATGGTATCACTCAGTCTATTTAATGTGGGACGGGGTTGTAGATCATTAAGATGGCTGTTTGCTCAGCGGAGTGACAAGTTGAGTGGTAACTTGTGTACAGCTGACCAATAAGCACAGTTAACAAGGCCAAGTTGAAAGTAACCGAGGCGTCAGGATGGGTTATTCGAACACAACATCGTCTGTTTATTCAATGAGAAACGAATTTCGGTGGTAGATATCGATGAAAGATAGGTGGACGAGATAAGTGTGGACAGATTGGCATCTTGTAATATACCTAGTGTAATAATTGAGGGAGGGCAGATGCACCCGCGCTATCGTGTACACTGAAAAAATTTGTGAAATATTGTGAGTATCGCAGTAATTGTGTGTGGTATCCCACTAGAGGACGAAATATTTATCGACTGGAATCTGTCAACACAATTGAACGTGTCACTGTGATTCAGAAAACCGATTCTGACAGTTTTCTTGTTTCCATCAGGCACCCACGGAATATATTAGACCATGGAATTTAGTGCGTGACAGTGAACACTTTACATCTCACCCCTGTAATTTCACATGTTTAGCAGAAGGATATGACCACTCGATGCATGTTTTTCTCTCGGACGTTTGTGGTGTCACTTGCCTCTTCTGAATTTTCATGAAGTCTTTGCATTACGTAGCATTGCGTTGTACTTCAGCAGTTGCCCATTTCTATTCAATCCGTTTACTCTGTTTTACTCTTGTCCCCGACAATCAAGGTCACGCGTTGGCACATTTCGTACGTCACATTTCCGAAAATTTCATATCTGTCACCACATGCGAAGTGAAGGAAGTACGTTTGGAAGCCGTGAAGACTTGTGCTCGTTTGATGGTGCCTTGGTTAAAGGTGAGCTGTCTTTTTGTGTAAACTACTAAGTGGCAAGTTGCCTTGACTTTTTCCATCATCTTCGTACACACCGATTTGTTCTCCTCAAATTAATATCCTGACAATACCTGTAGTTTTTGGAGCAGATGATAAGATGTTTATCATTCCACATGCAGTTGTAGCGGACTGATTCGAGACTTGTTTTATGTACGTTGTACCTCTGTTCTGCCCCCTTCCCTCATGACGAGAGAGAGAGAGCAAAGATTTTCCCGCACTTTGGTTCTTCTCATTCGTTTCACGACATTTTATCCTCTTTCCCACGGGGACAATAGTCGTGGCGTTCTCACCCGAAGATGGTTATTCGCTGTGTGACACAATACATTATCTGATTGATCAATGGTGTGAGGTTTCCGGTAATAGGATGTTTTTTTAATTACACATTCAGTGATTTACAACAAGGGGGGGGGGTGAAGCCCATGGCCAAAGCACTTTATTGGGGTGATATGTGAGTCACTTCAGATGAAAATGAATTTTTGGTAGCCTAATTTTGAAAAGAAAATGTCAGTATGTTGTTGAGAAGACATAAAAGAGAAAGGTGTTCAACTGCTTAATAGTTCTGTGGAACAGGGTTGAAATATAGTAGTTCAACATCTGCAGACAGAAATCAGATCAGAATGACGGACCTTGTGCGATCTAGATGGTCGGGAAAAATCATAGGGAGTGGTAGTTCATTTGATTTCTTACATTCAGGAATGATCAGAAAGAGAGAAAACTGGCAACTCAACCGTGAATCATATTTAGACATCAGCAAATGAGACGTTGGAGCGAGCTCAAAGCAGTGCCAGATGTGAAATATCCTTGAGTGGATCGAGACTTTGCCATATATGGTTTAACCTGACCAAGTTATCATTAAATACAGTGTGATCTTGTTGGAGATAAATACCAATTTTTATCCCAAGAGGATTTGATTGGACTATAGAGTGAATTTTTTGTATGGGGCAAACGAAGTACGAGCTGAAGAGGTAAGAACCACCATACAGCTGTTTCGACCCAGTTTGGTCTGATCGTGTATGGACAGAATAAAAAGCGGTCTGATCGGCTACCCACTGGTGGTTAGTAT